CCCTAAGCACAAATATGACATCCCAAACTGCTCATTTTGGGGATGGGAAAGAGATGGGACTACTATTAAATTTGCCTGAAATTTAATTTCATTCAGACAGGAAGGATATTTTTAAAACTATCGCCTACATATCAAAATATACTAAACTTATCCATACATTATAGCATACTGACTGGTTATATCTGATCATATGCACAATAACACCATAAATCACTGTTTTGAGAACAGAGTGAATGTACATTTTGTGTAAAAGAAAGTAAATATGTACCCATGTGTTTCTGCACTAAATTTATCATTGAATTTGGTGCCAAGGAAAACAGTACCCTTCAAAGAGCCTACCCATTATCTTTTTGAATTATATATTATCTTTTAATTTTTCATAGTTATCCATACATTCAGTTACACTAAATGCCAAAAGTGGGACCAAAAAAGTTAGCTCCTTTTTCCCTATGTTTATTTGCATTTTCAGAGGCAATATGGCATACTGGATAGAAGCTAACCTCAAGGCCACAAAGACCTGAGTTCAAGTGTTGCTATACTAACTTTGTGTGATGCTGCTTAAATAACTCAACCTGTCAATATCCTATGCAACTCTCCAAGACTCTAAGTGGCAGAGAAGATGCCAACTTATTTTGGTAGAAGGAATTGCTTTACCTGAGAGTCCTCATAGAAAATCAAATTACGAGTTCAAATGGACCTTAAAGATAACCTATTCTGACCCTCTCATTTTACAGATAAAGAAACAGAACAAGAGTAGAGAATGTCTTGCTCAAAATTATATGAGTATAAAGAGCCACAATTTAATCTTAGTTCTCCTGACTCCTATTATATTTCTTTTTCCACTTAATAGACTTACATCTAGTAAGTTTGGCTATCCAGAAACCTGAGGGAATGAGTCTTTTGAATATGCACCTTTTCTAGATAGTTAAGCTTATCCCTTTAAGCACCACATCATTGTTCATATTAGCCATCTGAGACAAAAATCTTTCTCAAAATGTATTATGCACTTTCATACCTTTTAAGAAAAGAGTCCAGTGAGCACAATGTAACCTTTTCCTGATAACTCTGTCATCATTATGAACATCAATTATTAAACCATGCTATCTAAGCAAGGAGATATGACTAGATAGCAATTCATTTCAAAAAGACCTGAGGGTTCTAGTGGACCTCTTGCTCAAAATGAGTCTGTAGCAGGATATGTTATCCAATAAATTCAGGTGATTGATTATAGGCTGTGTTTAGAGAGGCAAGGTGTCCCCAAATAGGTAATGATCCTATCCTTGTCACACTACATCTGGAGTATTACGTTCATTTCCAAGTGTCATATTTTAGGAACGAGCAGTTAAGATAATGAAGGTTCGCAAGATCGTGCTATATCTCCATATAGCTATACAGAAGGAAATTGGACTCTCTAGTCCTAAAAGGGAATGCCCTGATGGGACATGATAGCTTGCTTCAAGTATTGGAAATATTGTCATGGAGAAGAGGGACTAGCTTTGTTCTTGGGGGGTCTCAGAGGGCAGAATTAGGAACAATGCCCAGTGCAGGGAAGTTGCAGAGAATTAGATTTACTGTCAAACCTTTAGAGCTGTATAGAAACGAAACAGGCTGATTCATCTAAAATCTTAAAAAAAAAGACCCCATGACCACTCTGGAGGCATGCTATAATGGGGATTTCCCAATGACTCCCTATTGCCTCAGGTAGAAATTCTTCTTTTAAGCTATCAAGCTCTTCATAACCAGGCCCCTTCTGAACTTTCCAAGCTTCTTATTCTCTGTTGTACTCTCTACGGTCCAGCTCTCCCTCTCCCATCCCTGTGCATCAGTGCCAGCTGTCCCTTGTGCCTAGAATGCTCTCCCTCCTCAATTTTACCTCCTAGTTTTTGTAGTTTGCTCAAGATTCATCTCGAATCTCTCCTTCTGCTGGAACCTCTTCCTGGTTCATCATCATCTGTACTACAAGCACCTTCCCTCTGAGATTAATGTGTTTGTATTTCATTATTTGCATGTTCTCTCTTCACCCCCCCCCCCATTAGAATGGGAGATCCTTGAAGACAGGGACTACATTTTTACCTTTTTGGGGGGGGTGGCAGGGAGGTTATTCCCAGCACTTAGCACAGTGCTGGAAAATGTAAATCCTTACTAAATGCTTGTTGACTGACTCTTTATTCTGAAGTCTCCTCCAGTTCTAAGATTCTACAATTATGATTCTATATTACAGAAATGACCTTGGGAGCTAATGAGATGGGTATAAGACATTTCTCGTACCCTAAGTGGTCCTGGAATGGGGTGTTTTTCATATGTTTGTGCCTCCTCTCCTCTAATTCCTCCTGTGACAGAAAGCCTGCCTAAAATAACACTTCCCACCTTGCATTTTTGCTGCTTTTATCCATGATGGTCTTAGGAACTCTATAATTAAATGCATAGTTTCCTAGTGAGAGAGAGCCCTTAGGGATTTTGCTATTAGTGCACTACAGGAGTCTTGGAGTATGAACCTTGTAACTACTGTGTTATGAGTGCGCAGGAACTGTTTTTGCTTCCTTCTTACTTCTTGGCCAAAATAGGCAAGTTCCAGTTTGGTGAAGTGTCAGTGGGTATCCTAAAGTCACTTTAATTCTGTTGGATGAACAGGATTAAAGGGATTTCACATAGCAGACAAGAAGGCCTTAGAGAATATAACTTCGTGACTCGTGTTAAAATAAATACAGAATAATTTCATACTAATATTCATGGAAACGAATAGCAGATATGTAATCATGATGACCAATACTGACCTCACCAAAGAGATAAGAAAATTCCTCTCCTTCCCTTCTTTGCAAATGTGGGGAACCATGGGTATGGATCATTGCATACACTGTTAAACGTGGTCGATATGTTTTTCTTTTTCTTTTTTTTTTGTTATTTCTTACAAGAAATAGTTCATTGGAAGGTACTAGAGCAATGTATTTGGAGATGAAAGCTATGTAAAGTCAAAAGATATTGTAGTGGGGGTGGGGATTAGGAACTCACAACCTGCACTTTGGTCCTGCACTCTGTTCAAGCCACTCCATTAAAAACCACAACTTCTGGAAAACTAACACACGTCTTGGATTCACTTTATGGTGGTGATCATCTTCTCTCAGAAGTTTTTGGTTTTATTTTTCAGTCTGTCGGACAATCAATAAACATGTATTAAGTGACTGCTATGTGCCAGGTACTGTGCTAAGCACTGGGGATCCAAAGAAAAGTAAAAGGCAAACCTTGCTTTCAAGGAGCTCATAGTCTAATTGGGGAGACATGTAAACAGAGATGTACAAACAAGATAGATACGGGAGAAATTGTAAATAATCAACAGATAAAAAGCACTTGAATAAAGGAGGATCCGAAAAATCTTCCTGTAGTAGGTGAGATTTTAGCTGGGACTTGATGGAAACCAGGAGGAAGAACATTCCAGCCAATGGAAATGCTAGAAAGGGTAGGGAGGTGAGAGGGGCAGGTTATGAAGGGCTTTGCACACCAAACAGAAGAATTTGTATTTGATCTTGGAAATGATAGGGAGCCAATGCACAGAATTGACTAGGTGGGGTGACGTGCTCAGACCTATACATTAGAAAGATCACTTTAACAACTGAATGGAGGATGGACTAGAGTGGGAACTAGAGTGCAGCAGGAAGACTAACCAGCAGGCTATTTCAATAGTCCAGGCGTCCTCCTGGGTAACCAGCAAGAGGATCCAGGAGACTTCTAACCTCTAGAGCTCGAGAGATTGCCACCAGTATCTTGGTTCAATCACCATTGCCCTGGGAAAGAAACACAAATTTGAGTTCCTTTATCAGCCTTGTCTAGACAATACATACTCTCCCTGCCATGTGGGAATAGCTGTCATGGCTTTGGGGATGGGGATAAGGAATGGGAAATCTCCTCCTCCCTTGAAGAAAGTCCAAGGGAGAGCAGATGGAGTCCCAAGCATCATGTACAGAAGAGAGGAAGAAGAGAATGGAAATTGTCTTTCACTTTAAAAAACTACCAAGTGAAAATCTACCGATGCACTGGCCTCTTCTTTGACATAGCCCTTCCCCCTAATTAATGGGGTTGGGGTGGGGAGACAAAGGGACCACCAAGAAGCCTCGGTTTGTGCTTACTCTGTATTGAGGCCAAAGTAGATGTCTGGCCAGAAGACCAGGGCACAGACTCTGCACCCTTCAGGCTTCTTGAAGGCAAGACTCATCTTACTTGTATTTGTACCCCTAGCATTTAGCACAGTGCCTGGCACATAGTAAGCACTTAATAAATACCCTATCTATTTATCCCAACGCCCTCACTATATACTGATGAGAACTAAGACTTAGAGAAGTTAAGGGATGTGATATTTGGTGGCAGAGCAGAGTTTTGAACTCTGAGCTTTGAACTCTTGCTTCTTTGTCCTGTGGCCCTTTCGTTGCATCGTAATAGCTCAAAGATAGACCAGGTGTGAGTGTTTTAATTCAGTGCTTTGCCAGTTCTGGATGTGGTGCAGGAGACGTTCCCAATAACTTCACACTTCAGTTTTGTCATTTGTACTATTACAGTGATAGCGCTAATTCATCATGTTATAATGAGCCTGATGCTCATGATAGGAAGAGGGACAGGTGGCCATTTGGAGGTACACTGGCTCTTTCAAACCACTAGGGTGCCATTTAGTCCTTTGACTGCAGTCTTCACTGTTAGAATCATCAGCGGGGTTGGTAAAATGCCTAGGAAGCTGTAAGAAAAATAATGCTTTCTAAATAGAGAGATCATATTCAAAAGAGTTCCAGGTATTTAAAATAACATTTAAAATAAATAATGCAAAGGTTTGGTGTGTGGTGGATTTTTTCTCATATGTAGCTAGACCAATTTACCAAATTGCAATCTTTGTGATGATTCTGTTCTTTAATCGGTCACTTGTTTTCTAGCTTTGGGGAAATACATTATTTGATATAAGGCAAAATAGAGGTCCTGTCTTTTCCACACAGATTTTATTTTTTTCCCTTTAATTTCAGAGCAACCATTGAAACCTGAAATTGTAAATAAAGCACAATTCTTGGAAACGGAACAGCTGAAAAAGGTAAAGCACACATTTCTTGCTTAACTAACTGCCTTAATTTCATCTAGTCTGAAGGGACTGATAATACCTACATAAGGATCCAAATTTGGTTCATTTGGAGCAGGCAGGGGACCAGTAGTTTAAGACTTTGTGCAGGAGAGGAGACAAGGGTAATTCATCTCTCCTGTAAAATGCCTCTAGTCTGCTGCTAGAAAATACATCAATGAGAGCCAAAATAACCATTTCCAAATATTGTGTATGGGTGGATCATTTTGGCTCGAAACTGTCTGATTACATTCTACTCCTTTTCTTCTCACTAGTATAACTAAACATTTCTTTGTCAAAAGAAAAAAGTCTTAGGTTTTATTGAATAATGCCATGTCATACTGTATGGTGAATATCATGTTTGTTCTAAAATAATTTTTAACACAAATGTAGAAGAGTCACCAAGCAGCTTTACTGTTCACTGGGCAGGTAGAATAATTGTGCTTGGATGAAAGGACATTAGTAAATAACATGAGGATGGACAGGTCACCTCCATTTCCATTTTTATAATAGTCGCATTGGGCCACTAAATTGTGCTTAAATAAAGCAGTTAGACTTAGGTGTTAACATCACCTTCTGTTTTGCAGTTGGGTGATTGTGTTTCGAAAGACAGTTATCCAGATGTCAACATTACATGGTACAGGAATGGAAGGACTTTGGACCCATCAGAAGGTGAGTCTGAGTTTGTACTGGATATGCAATCTTGATTCTAAATATTTTGCTAAATTTTGATCTACAACAATGGGCCTAGTCGCTTTAAGTATCCATTAATTTTTTTCCCCAAATGCTGATTTAGTGCTGCTGCAAAAGAGAAGTAAGGAAAATTACTTCTGTCTGTGACATGTTCTCATAGTTAATTAAAGTGTGTGGGAGACAGGACTGTAGGATTCTATTTCTGCTTACACCATTGTTTTACTCTGTAACACTAAAAAGGTATCTGCCTTGCTACATGTCAGTCTCCCTGCCTGTACAGTACCTACAGTAGGACTAAGACACCTTTCAAATGTTTTGTGAGTTTAAGTACTTTGAATCCAGGTAAAAGATCCTATGAGTAGTATTCCTTCTTTCTTTTAGGTGTGATCACAACTTTGCAAAGACAAGTGGATCCCGCAACTCAACTCTCCACTGTAACTTCCTCTCTAGTGTACAAGACAACAAAAAATGATATAAAGATACCGTTCACATGTTCTGTGACATATTATGGTCCATCTGGCCAAAAAACAATTCATTCCGATCAAGCATTCTTTGATATTTACTGTAAGTTACTCATTTTTTTTTTCATTTTGTGGTTGTTCAGTCATTTCAGTTGTGTCTGACTCTTCATGACCCTATTTGGAGTTTTCTTGGCAAAGATACTGGAGCACTTTGACATTTCCTTCTCCAGTTCATTTTACAGTTGAGGAAACTGAGGCAAACAGGGTTAAATGACTTGCCCAGGGTCACACAGCTAGTCAGTGTCTGAGGCCAGATTTCAACTCAGGAAGATGAGTCTCCCGACTCTGGGCCTGGCACTCTATCCATTGTACCACCTAACTTCCCTTATTTTTTTTCGTATATCCAGCAAATAACTTTATCTATATCAATTAACAAACATGTTTTCCTATTTTCTAAAGCAAACAACTAAAGATTTTGAATCAGAAGACATAGACTCAAAACCTAGCTCTGATATTTACTGTTAGAATTCATGATCCTAAGCTATCTTAAAATGAAATAAAAATTGCTAACACGTTTAGAATGCTCTACATTCTGTTTTTACTAATTTCACTTGAGCTAACAGTTAGAATTATAGAATAATCTAACTAGAAAGGTTCCTAGATATCATCTAGTCTTACCCCTAGAATCTACAAGTGCATTCTACAAGTATTTAATTAATATTTCTTTAACTGTTTGGCCAAGGAGGCTAGAACTAGAAACAATTTAGGGAAGTCTGATGGTGTAAACTTAGATTTCATGCAAAGAAACCCGTCCTAACAGTAGGAGCTATCCACAAGTAGAATGAGCTGCCTTGAGGGGTAATGGGTTTCCTTTCACTGGAGGTCTTCCAGGTAAAGGTTGAATGGCAGCTTGTAAGGTGTATTGTTAGGTAATGTTGGTTAAAGGCATACATTGGACTAGATGACCTCTAAAGTCCCAACTGTGATTCCATGAATCTTTGAGTGGAGTCAAGTTCTGTATCTTCGTTTTGCAAAGGGATAAGCACTCAGACAGGACTTGCCCCTGATTGTGTAGCTAGCTGGAATTTCTAACTATCAACTCTGTGTGCTTTCTACTTGCTTACTATACAATTCAATATTAGAAGTAGAGAGAATTTCAGGGCAAAAGATACTTTAGTGATTTTTCTTCAACTAAGAAGTACGGCAAGTTCTCTGAAGTGAAAATTTACTTGAAATTCCAATAACAGTGTGGTATGTTTCAAGAGGGACTATCAGTCTAGTACCTATCTTTCATGAATGGTGAAATGCCAGTGGGGTCAAGGGAAAATTCCAAATCACCTATATTTTTTTTCTGTGTTATAAAATAGAAAGTGGTTTGAGTTTACACCAGGAAAATTTGAAAGTATAATGCTTTTCAAGAGAAAAAAACAAACGGTCCCATAGCCTTTAAACTAGCCAAATAGAAAACTGTTGGGCCAACAAATTCAAATCGTTGCCTTTTATTTAGAAAGTAGTATTGTTCTTCTGAAGTAAATTTATTTTAGTTGCCTAATTAATGGTAGAAAACAAGAACAACTTCTCCCAAGCTGTTTACGTGGTAACTAGCTTTGCTGATACCACTGAGAGTGCAAAGTGGTAGAAGTTGTCAAAGTTGTTTATATAAATTGAAAAGGGAAAAAAGAGGGCTGTAGATATGAAAGGCAGTGAATTAAATGTAGTAGGGAATGCTGGGAAGAGAATGGGGAAAGCATGAAACTGTTTGGAAGTTATGAGGCATCATCATGGCTAATTCAATACTTTGAATGTTTTTGAGAAAGGCAATGAGTAATCACTGTAGACAAAAAAGAAGAATAAGACAGAGTCCTTACCTTCAGAGAGCATATAGCATAGCCATATAGGCCATAGGAGTGAAAAAGATAAACAGCAACCTAAAGGCCAATGCCTAAGTGCCTTGAGTAAATCAGTTTGGCAGAAACATGGTTCACATAGGATAATATTAAGATATATCAAGGAGATGGAGGTTGTACTAGATACTACAAAGTTTGGACTTGACTCTATATGTCATAGTTATCCATTTAATGGGGAATGAAACATTCAGAAAGAAGCATTATAGGAAAATTAATCTGGTAGTGGTATATGGAATGGATTGGAGGACAGACAAACAACAATATAGGATCAATCTTATGAGACCTGGACTAGGATTATAATAGTGGGAGTGGGGGTTTAAATCCCAACAATGCTGCTTTCTACTTGTGTGACCTTGAGGAAACCGTTGAACCTTTTCCCGGGCCTCTGTTTTCTTACCTGTAGAATGAGGTTAGGTTAGATCATGTCTAAGGTCCCTTCCAGCTCTAAATCTGTAATCCTAATGTCATTATGGAAAAAAAAAATTTACAGGACTTGATTCCTGACTGGGTGGGGGAGGTAAGCTGAAAATTTCAGGTCTAGGTACTGCATTTAAGTATTGAAAAGCTGGAAAGAAGGTCCAGAAGAGAGCTAGCAGCATAGTGCAGTCACTATGTCATACAACAAATATATATCATACAACAATACAACAAAAAAAAAATATCATACAACTATTCATTGAAGGAACTAAAGCCTGGAGAAGACTTGGGCACTCATGCTTGCTATCAGAGCATTTAACTTTTTAACTTTTTTTTTTTAATTTTTAGGCAATTGGGGTTAAGTGACTTGCCCAGGGTCACACAGCTATTAAGTGTTAAGTGTTTGGTCTGAGGCCGGATTTGAACTCAGATCTTCCTGACTTCAGGGCCGGTGCCCTATCCACTGCGCCACCTAGCTGCCCCTCATTTAAAGCATTCTTATATGAAGAGATTACAATTGTTTTGCTTGATCCCAGAGTGGATGGATGGAAGTGGCAGAGAGACGGATCAATATAAGATCAATAGAATTCCTACACAGTAAAAGCTATCCAAAATGGAATTATCTCTCTCATTAGATGATGAGTATTCCGTTACTAGTGACCTTTAACACTAGAAAGGACCAGGAACATCAGTTGACAGAATCCTTCCAGATACTCTTAACTGCTGGTCCTTCTAGAGCCTGGGTAATGAATTAGTTGTCAAGAAAGTTGTAGAAATGTCTGAATGGGTATAGGTTAGACTAGATGATTCCTGACACCCTCTCCTTCTTTGAGATTCTGTGATTTCATGAGTCAAATATAATGATAATTCTGATACTCTCAGAAGTATTTAACACTTTATTTTTTTTTACTAGATCTGTGATTTTATCAGTATAAGGATTTTTTTTTAGTGAAGAACTTACTTTACCAATGCAGATTGACCTTCTCTGTAGCTTTTGAGATTATTATTGGACACTGAGGGGTTAAGTGATTTGCCCAAGGTCCTATAGCTAGTAGGTATCAACTGCGGAGCTTGACCCTCATACCTTTCTGAGTCCAAAGCTTTCTGTCAATCCAATCTCCTGCACTGCTACTCTACAGTGTCTGAAGGTTTTCAAAGCTTTTTATACACACTTCGTCGTTTAATTCTCACAGCATCTCTAGGATATGTTACTACCAGCATTATTGTCCTTATGTTAACCGATGAGGAAGCTGAATCTCGGGGAGCTTTAGTGACCTAATGAATAGGAGAACAATGTTGGCAATGACGGGATCAGAAGAATCAAGAAGGGGCTGTCATTTTGAGAAAGCCGATTAGTTTCATTTTAGTCACGTTGAGTTCTCTCCAGAAAGCTCCTGTTAAACTGCCAATTTGTTGCCTTGGAGTGGAGTAATGTATTGCCCCCATTATCCCAGGTTGGTTTATCAGTTTCCTACTGAAGAGCAGGGCTGTGAACAAGAGAACATGAGAGGTAAGGGCCAATCAAGGACTGGAAATTATTTGAAATGCCAAGTGTACTTGGGAGGGTGGGCTCCTATTGGAGTGACAGGATATAGAGGGTGGCATGTCTAAGGCAACAACGGTGCAACAGGAGTCAGTGGATGGAGAAAGTGTAGTTGAATGGGTATGGAAGGGAAGAAAATAGTGTCAAAAACAAATTTTATGCACTTCACAATCTTTAGCCTGGAGGCTATCATTGGTGAATCAGGGAAAAGACTAGCTTCATTCCCTTCCTAGCCCTATTCTTGACATCCTCTAGACTTCAAAACCTTGCCTCCCCTCTACTTCATCCCCAGCACTCTACTCTATTTTTTCAGTTTTCTTTTGGCTGAAGGCTTCCACCCTTAGAATGTAAGCTCCTTAAGGGCAGAGGCTCTTTCCTCCCTTCACTCCTTCCTTCCTTCTTTCATTTTTCTTCTTTCTTTCCTTTCAATTGATTCAAGTGATGATGATGATGATAAAGAAGATTTACATAGTGGTTTAAGATTTTTTAATTAATTTATTTTGAACTATCAACAATCACTTCCATAAGCTTGTGAGTTTAAATTTTTTCTCCCCCTCCCTCCCTACCTCCTGCCCCAAGATGGCACACAATCTGATATGGGCTATACATATACATTCCTATTAAACATATTTTCACATTGGTGATGTTATAAGTAAGAATTAGAACCAATAGGAGGAACCACCAGAAAGAGGAAACAAAACACAACAGAAGGAAAATAAATAGCAAATAGTATGCTTTGATCTGCATTCAAACTTTATAGTTCTTTCTTTGGATGTGGATAGCACTTTCCATCATGAGGCCTTTGGAAATGTCTTAGATCCTTGTATTGCTGAGAAGGGCTAAGTCTATTAGTCATCGAACAACATGGCTGTTACTGTGTACAATGTTCTCCTGATTCTGCTCACTTCACTCAGCATCAGACCATACAAGTCTTTCCAGGTTTTTCTGAAGTCTGCCTATTCATCATTTCTTATAGCACAATTGTATTCCATTACATTCATATACCACAACTTGTTCAGCTATTCCCCAATTGATGGGCATCCTCTCAATTTCCAATTCTTTGCCAACACAAAAAGACCTGCTCTAAATATTTGTTGTACATGTGGGTCCTTTTCCCATTTGTTTGATCTCTCTGGATATAGTCCTAGAAGTGCTATTGCGGTCAAAGGGTATGCACATTTTGATAGCCCTTTGGGCATAGTTCCAAATTGCTCTCCAAAATGGTTGGATCATTTCACAACTCCACCAACAATGCATTAGTGTTCCAATTTTCCCACATCTTCTCCAGCATTTATCATTTTCCTGTTTTGTCATGTTGGTCAATCTTATAGGTGTGATGTGGTACCTCAGAGTTGTTTTAATTTGCATTTCTCTAATCAATAGTGATTTAGAGCATTTCTTCATATGACTATAGATGTCTTTAATTTCTTCATCTGAGAACTGCCTGTTCATATCCTTTGATCATTTATCAATTGGGGAATGACTTGTATTCTTATAAATTTGACTTAATTCTCTATATATTTTAGAAATGAGGCCCTTATCAGAGAGACTGGTTGCAAAATTCTTTCCCAATTTTCTTCTTTCCTTCTAATCTTGGTTGTGTAGTGGTTTAAGATTTGCAAAGTAAGACATATATATAGATATAGATATAGATATGTAGCTATATATAGTACTTTGCAAACCTTAAGCCATATATATGTGTGTGTATGTGTGTGTGTGTGTGTGTGTATAATGTATATAAAATCTCCAGTGTGCACATATACTCTGAAGAGAAGTGTAATCACACCAGAATATTCTAGGTAAGATGCAGACTAATCAGAAGAATTGCAAAACTTTGCAAAAATACGCAAACTTGGTGCTGGCATATGCAGAAAAATTGGAGACAAAAGATCTATTACTTTCCTCCGTCTGTTAACTTTGTCTGTATGTTTGACATGATATGGAAAAAAATATCTTTGTAGCATCTAGGCAACTAACCTGTTAGCTTCACCTCTCAAGTCCCACTTGTAGCATTACTCATATGAACTCTTCTTGGGCAGATCACTTTTGTCTTTATAAGTATGCCGAAGTATATCATTGGTGAAATTTCATGCACGTAACTAATGATGCAACATTTGTAAAGTTCTCAAGGTGAAAAAGTGTTGCATCAAATGAGCCTCTACATTAGGCCATTTCTAAATTGGCTATTCTTTTAGCCAAGTAGTGATTTTGAAACATCTTAAAGTTTAAAAGTAGACTATTATTAGGAAGTTACTCATTTTGGAAATTCATATACTTCTAAGACTGGGATTTTTTCTCCTATTTTGTGTTTGTTAGATGTGGTTCATTATGTATGGACTTAATTTCCCTAGAATTCTGCTTGTGAACAGCAACTAATAGTAAAGAATACCCTTCAGCCCTGTTTTCTTTGGAAACATTACCAAAGTGGAATGAAAGTTGTATCTTGGCTTCATTGAACAGAACAGAATTATATTACATCTACAGTTCTGCTGATTGTGTTAAGGGTCTCCTTCAGATCATGGGATTCATCTTGTCGAAAGCAAGTATGCTCTTCAGCATACCGAAAAGCTTTGTCTGTGCTATTTAGCTCATGTTCCTTTGTATTTAATGTAGGGTACTATTATGTAATGTGAGTGCAGTGTTGCCTAATAGAACTAACTATTTTGAGGGCTCCAGTTCAGTCTTTCCAAATAGTAAGTTTCACAGAATACAGCTAAATTCTCTTGTAATGAAATCATACAGTGAGATTGTTCCTACTGGTCTTTTACACATGAAGTAATTATGGTCATTCCTACTACAGTTAAAGACATTTTGCTAAGAAGAAATTGATTTTTATATAACAGGGTTCCTTTGTAGTTCTAACTAGGATTAGTACTCAGTATGGAAAGTACCTATTAACTTAAATCCTTCTATAAAAAGATACATTTAAGCAATTACCATTACTTGCTTCTTGAGAAAATTGTGTATAATTTAGTCATTTGCATTATAGGCATGGAGCACTTTGGTATTTGACAAAAACTGTTAACTTGTGTCCATTTTTTTGCAGATCCCACAGAGAAGGTGACAATTCAAGTCTTGCCACCCAAAAATGCCATTAAGGAAGGAGACAACATCACTCTAAAATGCTTAGGAAATGGTAACCCCCCTCCAGAAGAGTTTTTGTTTTACCTCCCAGTAAGTGCCACAGTCCTGCCACTTAGCTTTAGAACTATCATTGTCCCCTGTTTGACAGTTGTCTGATGTTCACATTTTATTACATGAAAGAGGGAGCGTGATATTACTCATACAGAGTTCCCATGGAAGGTTTTCCCTACTCCATGAGGAAGCTACGAAACAGGGTAGACTTTTTTCTGCCTTTTTTCCCTTACCAGTAAAATCAAATTACACAGGAAGCTACTTTGGGGGAGGGGAATAAGGCAATTGGGGTTAAGTGACTTGCCTAGGGTCACACAGGCAGTGTCAAGTGTCTGAGGCTGGATTTGAACTCAGGTCCTCCTGACTCCAAGGCCAGTGCTCTGTCCACTGCACCACCTAACTGTCCCAGGAAGCTACTTTTAAAACTCTTCTAAAGTTACAAATCTAGTGGTGTAGAAGATACAATAGCTATTAAGAACCAATTGGTGAGCTTGATTTCTCAAATAAGTTGCCATATTCATCTCATCAACAAGACTGAATGGAAAATAAGAATGATAACAGAGGAAGAGCTTACCCTGCATTCTGATCCTAGCTTTGCCAGTCATTCATAGGATGAACTTGAAAAAGTCCTGTCTCTTCTCTGTGCCTCAGTTTCTCTATCTTAAAAACAGAGACAATCCTTTTGGACATTTTTGAGCTATACCTGAAGTATCAGTTGAGAATTATGTAGCCAGGACAACACACCCATCCAAGAGCTATTGAAAGAAAGCATCTCACTCCACTCAGAGCACCAACTGGACGTGGGACCCAAATGAACATCATTTTCCCAAGAACTATATGGCTATGTGGCTCTAAAATAATTTAATAATAATTAATTGTATTTAAATACATTTCACCAATTTTATTTTTAAAATAATTTAAATAATAAAATGCTTTCATTTCTTCCCCTCCAAAAAATATAACATTAAAATAAAAAGCCAAACATTTATATTTAAATTCCAACCACAAGTCATATATTTTCCATTGAAGCAAACCTCTTCCCTTTCAAAATTGAAGGAATTATATCACAGTCGTTAAGAAATACTATTGTCCTCATCTTTGCTACCCAATGTAATCATAAGCTGTTTTACCTCTATCCAAAGGGACAGCCAGAAGGGATAAGAAGCTCGAATACTTATATATTGACAGATGTGAGACGAAACGCGACAGGAGACTACAAATGTTCTCTAACAGATGAAAAAAGCATGATTGCTTCCACAACCATCACAGTGCACTGTAAGTTACCTTATTTTTTTCATGCACAGTTTCAGAAAGCAATTTCTAGCCTAATACTACTCTTTCTTCAAATAAGTTGTAACTGGTGTTGTTGTTGTTCAGTCATTTCAGTCACGTCTGACTTTTCATGACCCCATTTAGAGTTTTCTTGGCAAAGATATTGGAGTGGTTTGCTACTTCCTTCTCTGGCTCATTTTACAGATGAGGAAATTGAGGCAAACAGGGTTAAGTGCCTTGGTCTGGGTCACACAGATAGTAAGTACCTGAGGCCAGATTTAAGCTCAGGTCTTCCTGATTCTAGACCTGGCACTCCATCTACTGCCCCAGTTGTAACCTGGTTTCATTAGACTTAATTAAGTTCATCAGTATCAGCAGCACTTTGGTTCAGTGTTTGTATTACAAAGTTTATGACATATATGGATTTAATTAATGCAACTTCCAATTGTGCTGAAAATCCAGTATCATCCTAAGTTCCCACAATATGTAGCAGAAGAAACTGGTACCTGTTATGGATATTAATGGAATAATGAATCATTATATATGTGAAGAACTGCCTGATTGTTCTTGAAATTCACAGAAGCAGCAGCTGGCCTACGGAAGTTGTATTTAAGACTTTATTTAATAGAGAACAAAAATTATAGGGCATAATACCCATAACCAAAACCAGTGAAAATGAATTCAGCTTTGGGAATAAGATCAAGGCTATTACAGTAATTTCGTTGGCCAATGAAACCGTATTGATGGGTGGACAGTGAGAATCTAAAAGCAGAAGCAACCTCAGGATCAAAGTCCTCTTCAGGATCACATTTGTTCTCTTTTAACCTGCGCTTCTAATCTGTAGACTAAAGCTATGTGAGCTCAGGGAAGCAAAAGGAAAGATGCACAGAAGCACATCAAGAGCAAACACTTGACTTGACCTTCCTAAAGACTGATTTTCCCCTTTGGGGCAGTCCATCCTGTGGAGATACTGGCAAGATAGGTGCAGTCTGAGAAGAGGTTTTGTGGAGACAGGGATCCAGTGCGATGTTGTCCTGGAGGCACTCAGAATTCAAAGACTGCCCAGTGTATGCATTATTCTTCCTTGGAGATGAAGATCAGTCTTGTAATGAGATTTTGATATCTTGTAGTACCAATGAGATCTTTCTTTCTGGGTGATGCGGTCTAATCCCTTGAGCCTGAGGCTTCACCCTGCTTCCAAGGAGAAGAGAGACTTCAGTGTCCTTCCAGAATTTTCCTGGGAAAGAGGTTCTAAACTTCCTTTTCAAATGACATTTTTGGGGGTTACTTCAGAGGATTCAGGCTGAAGCCTCTGGTAGAGATTCAGGAAGGGAGGTAGATAATGTAGCTAGCTAGATAAATAGATAGATAGATATACCAATTCCTAATTATTAATACAGGTTGGCATAATATAAAGCAATGGCAACATTTTAATATGTCATTAGGAGCACACTCTAAGTAGCAAGAGAAAAGAATAAGACTATTAAGGAAATGTTTTTCCACAAATAGTTGTCTTGTTCTGTCCAGTATTCATCTTGTATTGACTTGAGTAAATCTATGACTTGGAACAATTGTTGGGAGAACAGTGACACCCCTAGGTAAGGACTTTGCTGCCATACTTTTCTATATGTTTAAAAGTAGCCATTTTTGGGACAATTCATCCAGGACTGCCCTGCTTCCTTAATAGGTTTCTTTCCAAGCCTTACTCTTTTTTGGTGACACAGGTGAAATGAAGCCAGTAGATAGCCATGCCTTTGAAAGATGTCATGTGTAAATTGCTTCTAAGGGTCTTATGTAAAGAATCCATAGCCTTAGGGGAGATTAAGGCTTGCTTGCTTTTGAAAGAGACGGCAAAATCCCAAGAAATGAGAGCTATAATGTCTGTTAACTGAGTATCTAGTTGGAAGAACAAGGTGATAATAAAGTCACGGAGGTGTCTTGATAATCATCAGTGATAGGAATATGAATAAGGAGAAGGATGTGACAGTTTAATTGTATTTCAGGTGTTTGTGGGGGCTTTTTTTTTTAAAGCATTTTAGTTTTGAAATGCAAGGCTGGAATGTGGCAGTTGGGTTTTAAGAAAGAAGCCAGAAAAAATCAACATTTTAGTTCTCTTAAAAGGAATACTGGTAACATGTTTTAGTTTTTGTTTGCTTGTTTTCCCCTGAAAACAAACCTGTTCTCTTTTCCATAGGTAGAATAGTAAGACCAGAATAACTAAATAGCTGACTATACGAAAGTATTCCCAGCCTATAAAAGTATTATCCTCCCCCAGATAATTGGGGGGGAATGAACTTTTTTCTACCCTGCCCCCCAACCCACATGTACTAACTACCCTTATGACTGCTAAAGTTCATCACCAACCTTTAGGTTAATTCCCTCTAACTTCTCATGCCATAAGTCAACCATCTAAATAAATATTTTGCTTTACCTAGCCCTGAATTTGAGACTCAAATCCACTTCTACCAACTAATTTATCAAATGATTTTTTGTGTGTGTTATAGTGTAAGCATTTTTTTTAGAAAATCAGTGATAAACTGAGAAAGCAGGGATATTTTCTTTAGGCCATTCTCCCTAAACTGCTAAGCTCTTTAAAGAAACATTTCACATGTCTGATAGATGTAGATTTCTATATATATGTAGGGATATTTGTACCTTGTATTCTTTAAAATGTTATTTTCTGCTGGTATGTGTAAGTGTAACTATTGTCTAACCTTTCAACCAGATGAAAAGGGCAAAAACCATGTTTTATGAGTCTAACGAATTTAGTAGTGTTCTGTGAAGAAAGTTTTAGAATATTTCCTGGTTTTTTTTTAGTTTATCATAAGTTCTGTAAAGATGCTTGATTTTCATATTTTACAAATTACCTTCTTTTCCAGGAACACTTCCCCTTATATTGTTTGTTTCCTTCCAGAAATAACAAAGCTTTTTCCCTGGTGAAGAAATTAAATCAACTTGATATTTAAAGGTAGCCTCTACATCAAGCCTGTTAATTGTATTGACCATTTGGCGATCCACACTACCTATTGGATGGTCATAGTAATCAGAACACAGTCCAATTCACTGTCATATAAATGTGGTCTAGATTTCAAATCACTTGCTAGGGTTGATTCTTTCATCACTTCCTCCTTTCCAAAAACAATATTCAGATATTTTAATTTTCTGAGGTTTGCATTTCAAACAGTTCTTTTGCTTCACAGATTTAGATTTGTCCCTTAACCCAAGTGGAGAAGTTACTAAGCAGATTGGAGATGCTCTTCCTGTGACATGTACTATATCTTCAAGCAGGAATGCAACTGTTGTTTGGTTGAAAGTAAGTAGTATTTTTACTAGCTTTCTTTCTAAATTCATTACTATTTAGAGTACAGTCATTTTATGTTGTACAGAAAAATATTACATATCTCATGCAATGATAGAGAGGTAAGAATATTATATAAACAGACTCTATTTAAGGTGATGCTTTAGTTTTTTAGAAATGTTAATTTTTAAACAAAATTAGAAATGCATACTGCATTAAAACCTATTGCCATGGGGGCAGCTAGGTGGTGTAGTGGATAGAGCACTGGCCTTGAAGTCAGGAGGACCTGAGTTCAAATCTAACCTCAAACCAAACACTTGACACTTATTAACTGTGTGACCCTGGGCAAGTCACTTACCTCCAATTACCTAAAACAAACAAGCAAACAAAAAAAACTATTGCCATGAATATCAATTTGTTGGACAAGTACTAAGAACACACGTGAAACATATAAAATTTTGATAGGCCTCCATTAATAATTCCTCTCTATATTTCAGAGTAATTGTCTGAAACTCAGTAAAAGATACTCATGTCCAATCATTAGATCTTTTTAGTACCACAGATGGGAAAGTGCAACTGTTATTTGCTCCTTTGGAGTTTGGGGAAGTTGTGCCAAAAATGGAGATAAATGACCCTGACCCCAGCACTGAAAATTATAAAAAAAATCCATTTCTTTTTCACCAGTGCTGTCAGAAGTCAATCTTGTACGTTTCCTCTAGTGTCATGATCCTTTGACTGCAATTCTTAAACAGTGCAATTGGGGCATACTTTTTCTTTTTTTTTTTTTTAGGCATTTGGGGTTAAGTGACTTGCCCAGAGTTACACAGCTAGTGTCAAATGTTTGGTCTGAGGGCAGATTTGAACTCAGGTTGTCCTGACCTCAGGGCTGGTGCCCTATCCACTGGGCCACCTAGCTGCCCCCAGGGTATACTTTTGAAGCAGTGGTGGGCAGAGACCATCCTCATGAGTTGTATAGATACATAAGTTATTAACAACTAGCATGTTCTATTCACCTAGATACATATGTGTGTATGTATATATATAATTATATGTTATATTATATGTATATATATTATAAATATATATATATAAATAATTATAAATAATTTAAACCCAGAGATACTTTAAGATTTTTTCTACATGCTGTGCATCCAAGGTGATACATATTTAACTGATACTGTGCAGAGAACCCTACAGGTTAATCAGTTTGACCAGTAGCCATAGGGGTCCAACGGGCTAACCAGCGTGACAGTACATTTTCACTAAAAGTTTCACTTGCTGTCACTTATACCTATTTCAGAATTGACCATCTCTTGTGTCATCTGAAAGGATCATTGGTTGAATTCTTTATTGCAGGCTGATTATCTGTTCTCAAATGCTGTCAATGCCATCCAGTCAGTGGTTGGAGAAAAGGGGAGAGTTATGGTGAACAAAGCACTCTTGAGTTGTGTGGCAATGATATCATTACTACTGCCATTTGCAGTTACTATTTTTTGTACAAGTGCCCGAGGTTAAAAATTTATAGTAGTAAGATCTGGACCTCTGCTTTTTATTGACATAGAAAATTCCCAGTGAGGACACCACCTCTACCAGTACAGGTCAGCAAATACGCTGCAAGCTATTGCCTTTGAGAGTTGCCAAGGGCATCAAGAGGTTGAGTGATTTGTCCAGAGTCACACTAACAATGCGCATAAAAGGCTGGCTTGGAACCCAGGTCTTCCTTACAACAAGGCCCAATTGTTTCTCTGACATACCACTGCTGCCACGCTAGTGACATATATACATTTTACCTCTAGGTCATTAGGTAAAACTTTTACTCTTTTGCAAGTGTCTCTCTCCAATGTCTCATTGCATTAGTCAGGGTTTATAATAATAATGTTAGTAATTTTGTTTGGATATCTTGAAAATCATTTATATCTCACTTAGCAATGAAGATCAGACAAAGAAAGTAAATTTATACATTTTAGCATACAGAAGCCATCCCTTTGAGGAAATGGTACTATTCAGTACACAGTCGTAGACTTCAAGCTATGTCAATGAGAGGCTAGGTGGTGCAGTGGATAGAGCATGAGTCCTGCAGTTAGGAAGCCCTAAGTTCAAACCCAGCCTCAGATACTTACTTACTGTGTGGCCCTGGGTAAGTCACTTAACCACTGTTTACCTCAATTTCCCCATCTGTAAAATGAGGGATATAATATCACTTTTCTCCCAAGGTTGTTGTGAGGATCAAATGAGATAATAACTGAAGTTTCTATTTAGCATAATCCCCAGCCCATCATAGACATTAACATAAATGTTAGCTTCTAGTATATAAATGTTAGATATTATAATAATAATTATTATTATTCTTTCTACCGGTTTTACAAGAGAAAATAAAGAAAACACTTTGTTTTCATGTGTTTTTTTTTAATCTAAAGACAGGAAAAAACCCTCATATTTTCACGAGTAGGATAAATGGAGTAATTGATTATTAGATTGTCAAAAAATATTAGTCTAGATCTTAATTACTCTTGAGTAAATATGCCTACAGTTATAACTAAGCCATGCAAAATAATTAATTTTTTCATTTAATCAGGATAACACAAAGCTGCGATCTAGGCCATCATTTTCCAGTCTACAGTATCAGGATGCTGGGAACTATGTTTGTGAAACTAATCTACAAGAGGTAGAAGGGTTAAAGAAAAGAGAATCTCTGACTCTAATTGTGGAAGGTAATAAAGGAGAGCAGTTTATATGCATCCAATGTTTCTTTCAAAAACCTTAGTTATTCTGTAGTTGGTTTCATTCATCACAGTCAGCTCACCACAATATTTTAATTATGCTGATATTTTAGGAAAACCTCAAATTAAAATGACAAAGAAAACTGATCCAAATGGATTGTCTAAAACAATTACCTGCCATGTGGAAGGTTTTCCCAAGCCGGCTGTCCAGTGGACAATTACAGGCAGTGGAAGCGTCATAAACCAAGCAAGTATTTTTCTTCTCTTTGTTTTTCCTTCATCTTGGTGAGGTTTCATTTTGGTGGCCCAGATGTGGGGCTGGTTTAGTATCAACATATACTTTCTCTATATATATTCTAGGAGGTGAAGAGAGAACTTTCTAATTAACTTCTGAACAGCACTAAAGGAAAGAAAAGGAAACCCAAAACTTTTAAAATTGATTTTTATCTTAGAGATAAGGGGAATAGGTATTTGACTTGTGATTTTCTTGGTATTGGGAGCTCCCTGGTGACCTTTCTACCAATGCAGTTTGGCCACTTAGTAGTCTTAGAGATATGTCTGAGACACAACTGAGAAAAAAAAATGTAAACAACTTTCCCAGAGTCAGTTTTTTTTTTCAGAGGTAGGAATTAAAATCCAGTCCTCCTGGTTTTGAGGCCAGCTCTCTATCCACTATAACATGATGCCCCCCCTATATTTTGTTTTTCCCAGAGCCATGAAAAGAGCCAAACTTACAATGTCTGTGGGTGTCTAAGTTTGTCTTTTGAAAAGAATGTAAAATAAGATAGTCAGTGGTCCTTATTTCCTAAACTATGAAAATTATTAAAATATTAACAGGAACACTTTGGTGCTTCATACATTTACATATTCAAGTGTAATAAGTGGCTTATATTAATTTGCTTCCTTGTATTGTATTAAGGAATAGTCCATCTTAAAATTATTTCCTAACATAGTGCTAGAATCAGGGTTGAGGAGCCTGCGGCCACATGTGGCCCTCTAGGTCCTCAAGTGTGGCCCTTTGACTGAATCTAAATTCCACAGAACAAATTCCTTTAATAAAAGGATTTGTTCTGTAAAAGTTGGACTCATTCAAAAGGCTATACTCGAGGACCTAGAAGGCTACATGTGGCCTCGAGGCTGCAGGTTCCCCACCCCGCAACAGCTAGACAGTTATTTCATTTGAACATATGGCCTCCTGTGGCTATACCAGAGTTGGGTCCATATATAGAGGCCCTTTCAGACATAAGGTGGGAAGAGGAAGGTAAATAATAATTTGTTCTGTTGTGTGCTAAGGTAGAATTTAGATTTCATGCCCCCCCCATTGCCTCCTAAAAGAAAACTAGGTCTTTGAGTATAAGAGTTACAAATGTCTTTTTCTTATGATGTAAACTCTGGTCATTACCTCATGTCAATTTTAATATCAAAAAGAGTGAAAATCTGGCTTATCATTGGGGGTTCAAAATTGCAAACCCATGAAATTGTCAATCTGTTGGATTTTCAGATAGAAAACATAACAAGCTGTTGAAGACTAGGTTTAATGGTTTCCCTAATATGTTCCTTTATTTTTTAAAATATACAAAGACGCCACATGAACTGCTTTCTCTGGCACTGGCTAAGGACTATTTCTTTGGGGATATTAACTTCTCAGTTACCTCTTGTTTTGCTTTGGACTGGTCATAAGACACAAGATAAAAGGCTGTCAGTTTCTTTTTAAAATTAAAATTGTTCCATCTTCCCCAGTACCCAGGTGGTCATGCAATACCATTTCCTAGAATAGTCAGTTCACATATCATGGCAGGGGAAAATGGAGTGATGATGATCACATATCTCATCAAATTCTGTGTCTTTCTCCCTTTTCTGTGTTTTGGCATTGTGTGTGGTTATATGGATGTACACTGCCAGGGATGTATAATGTCCCCAAACAGAATGATCAGAGATTAGAGAGAGGGGTAGAACACATGCGCTCTATCTCTGATGAAGTGTATAATCAGTATTTCTTCCCTGCAGCTTGTGGGATATGTGATCAAGAATAGCTCTCTCTTACCAGCTACTTGATGCTAGTAGGAGCAGTGTTCTCAGGGACAGGTAATTCTGATTATCCTACTCTGTAGCCATAGTTAAGCATAGAAGAATGCAAAAGAGGGGGCAGAAATCCTAGTTATGATTTAGATTTAGAGCTGGATGGCATCTCTGAAATCTCAATTTTAACCCCCTCCTTTTATATATAAAGAAATTGATGCCTAAGAGGTTAAGTGATTTACACATGGTCACACAGCTAATTTTCTGATATGGGATTCTTACACAGATCTTCCTGACTCCTAAGCTCATCATTTTCTACATTACACCGTATTGCTTGTCTGTCAATACCTAAGAAATACACACTCCCTGAAACCTGATTTGCTAGCAATGAGCGTTACTATTGAAAATAACTAATTTTTTTTATCATTTGTGTTGCTTTCCTTTGCCTTTTGCTTTATTTGGTGAATTGATCAGCTTTTGTTTTCTGTATCCATTTTCCTATTCCAGTTTATGTAAATGACATTGATAAAGAAAACCTTAAGATAGCAATAGTATCAACAACATAAGAAAAGAGAATCAACCTAGAAAAGTGTAAAGGCACCATATCCGGGTCGGAGGAACTAGGAATAAAATCAAGGATCCAAAGAAAGTGTTATATGAAAGTTCTTTTGAATGGTGGAAAATTGGAAATTTTGCTATCCATGTGTAGAAACCAAGATGTTCTGCTTCTGAGACAAAAATGAAGTTGTCATTATTTTATTCTTTGGTTATGTTCCCTGAAGTGGTGATAGACTTATGTGAATCCTTCTATTCTCTTAGCTGGTGCTTCTTTCATTGAATGGATGGGTGATTTTTTTTTTATTTTTAGCGACTGCTATGTGCCTAATACTGTTCTAGATATTGTCAGAGGAGGGCTACATACATAATGAGAAGGGCTTCTTCACATAAGGAGTTTGCAGTTGCATACTCCCATGAAATTTTCAAGAAAGAAGGGTGTTGGGTTTTTTTTAGTCTAGACCTGTGATTTCATTGGTAGATGGAATGCCTTGTGAGGCGACTCTTTACACCAGGGTAGCTCTGAAGCTTACAATCTTAGAGAATTGCCTAAGGCATTAAAGAGTTATGATTTGCCCAGAATCACATCACCAGTATGTGTCAGAGATAAGAAGTAAACTCAGGTCTTCCTAACTCTAAGGCCAACCCTCTATCCCCTTTCCAACACTGTTTCAGAAGCATAGATCTAGAGCTGAAGGGACCTCAGATATCCCCTCTTCCAACTCCCTCATTTATAACAGGTGAGGAAAAACTGAGGCCCAGGGCAGTTAAGTGACTTGCCCAAGCTCACTCAAGTAGTAAGCATCAAAGATGAGCCTGGAACCCTCTAAGTTCAGTCTCAGTGATCTTTCCACCGGAAAGTGATTATTATACAATATAGACAGTGTGTTCAGTAGGAATTTGAGAAGCAAGACTAAATATACAAACTGATGGGGTGAAGGCTACTCTCTCTTTGCCTTCAGAACACATTAAACCTAACCGGACCACTCAGGAATTAAAGTCTAGTGGTACCATATCCCAACCAACTTAGTTTATCCTTTTCACATCTATTCCTTTCAACAACTAATTGTTCAGAATAGGTAATTTTTGCAATACAAATAACACTGCTGAGGATAGATTATTTCACAGTCATCATAACTAAAGATCACTAATCATTATGATCACTAATCATTATCACTAATAATTATAGGGAAGAACACTTAACAAACGAATGAAGCAGAGTTCTATTTAAATTGCATAATGAAAACTAATCATTTGTTAAGAGGGTTGCGTGTTAGGAATAATAATTTATTGAAGCTCTATATATTATTCTCACACTTGGAGTGTGTGGGCAACTTTTCAACAACAAAAATTTTCCCAGACCACCAAATGCTCTGTGATAATAGTTGTACCATTCAAATCCATTGATTGAGAAAATACATGATAAAAAGCTATTATGAGGTTTTTAAAAATTTTAATAAAATACAGCTACATAAATTTGAAAAGTAAATCATACATGTGTGAGTCATTATTTGAGAACTCATATCAATAACTCATTGGCAACTGAGAAGTTCATGCCCCACAGATTGGAAAGCATTATTATGAAATACAGAATTTTTCAGGTAGGATCTCAGAGATACAATCCTACTTTTATATTTAATTTATGAAATAAAATAAGCATTACTATAACATAGTAGAATAAAAAAAAGATGCTATTCCTTTTAAATGTATAAATATATTTTTTCCTTTTTTCTTCCCTCCTCCCCACCATAGAGATGGCTACCATTAGTTGCAAATGTGTATATATAGTATGTGTATATATGTATATATATATATATATACACACACTATATATGTAAGATCATTCTATATATAATTCTATTTATCAGTTTTTTCTCTGGATGCAGATAGCCTCTTCCTTCCTTCATTTCTCTATCATTAATTTGGGTATTTATAATAGTCAAAATTACTAAGTTGCTCAAAGTTGTTCTTAAAACAATATTACTGTTACTGTATATAACATTCTCTTGGTTTGAGGTCAAAAAAGAGCAGGCGATTCTTCAAACTTACTTAGATAGCTGGTAGCCAAGTTAGGACTAGAGTTCAGGTCTACTTCCTCCCAGGTCCACACTTGCTTCCCCTAGCTCCTCTTTGTCTCCTACTGTGGAAATGTTGACTGACTCTCTAATGAAGGGAGGCAAGAGTAATTAAAAAATCAGGAGCTTAATTAAAATAGAAATGTAAATAAGACCCCAAGTAATGCATTTAATACTTTTTCTCTGCTATAGACATTACTTCCCAGGAACAGCACCTTGTCACAATCTCAATGCATCAATTATTGTTTATCTCAGGCTCTTTAGTTAAATTCCCTTTCAAAATTGACTTTGCTTCTTTCCTTTACAGACGGAGGAGTCCCCTTATATCAATGGCAGGTATTATAGTAAAATTATCATTTCCCCTGAAGAGAATGTTACATTAACTTGCACAGCAGAAAACCAGCTGGAGAGAACAGTAAACTCCTTGAATGTCTCTGCTAGTGAGTATTTCATTTCTGACCTTAAAAAAAATAAATAAATATAAGACAAACTGAGGTTAACCCTCTTTAGTTTAAAGTCTTCAATTCCATCTTCCTGTTCCTCATCATGGTAAGTTTTATGCATTTGTTATTTTGTACCCACTATCATTTTTCATAAGATTCTTCTTTTCTTGTGTCTGTCAAGTAATAGTCTTGTCTGACAATCAAGTCACTTCATGATGCATGGATCAGAATCCACATTCTATGCGGGGACTTTTCCTCCCTAAGCTGCAAAGGATGTGAATTCAATTGTTTTTGCTTATGCCATTTTTGCGTTGAGAGTAAAAGTGAAAGAAGAAATTATCTTTTAAAACATTCCTGTAACTATGTCAGGCCCAAATGTATTTCCATTTGCTTTTATTTATTACCTTCTGTTAAAGTCTTACGTAGAAATATTCTTAACATTATTGTCCAGACAGAGAGAGAAGTTAAATAGATTGATTTTAACCCCTACAGTAAAATTGGCAGCAAAGTTAAGATTTGAACTCTCAGCTTAATGTCTAGCATAGGGGTGGGGAACCTGTGGCCTTTTATCTGAATCCAAATTTTACAGCCCAACACATAGCTACAGCTGAATACAAGCATATATATATGTATACATATATATATATATTTATATTTATATGTCATACATATATGTAATTGTATCCGACAGATATACTAACATATAATACTCACACACAAACACATAGATACATATTTTAAAATTTTGATAATATATTTAAATTAAACCATCTCAAAGGGAGGTAGAAACTTTGCCAATATGAAAATTTGACCAGCATATTACAAGTTAAATATTTAACTCTATCAGACTACAATAGCCTACCATTAACATGAAATTGTAAACCATCTTTTAATATATAGTTTATCACTGTATCTTTGTTAAACTTTAAAACAGGGCTGGTCAAGACTGGAGCCCCCCTAAATCCTACCTTTTTTACTTTACATTTTACAATGTTCTTTTATAGTGTCTTTCATTTGAGCCTCATAAGCACTTTGGGGTGTAGCCAGGGTAGGTATTGTTCCCATTTTTATGGGTGAGCAAACTGAGTTTAATTTAAAGATAAATTGTTTTGCCCAAGGTCAGTCAGATAGATTCAGACTATAGAGTTGGAAGGGACTTTAGATCAACCCCTAAATTTATGCCTAAGAAAACTAAGGGCCAGAGTGGTTTAAATAACTTGCTTGCCCAAGTAACACTGCTAATTTGTTGTCATTTAGTCATTTTTCAGTCATGGCTGACTCTTCATGACTTCTTTTGGACTTTTCTTGGCAAAGATACTGGAACAGTTTGCCATTTCCTTCTCTAGCTCATTTTACAGATGAGGAAACTGAGGCAAACAGGGTTAAATGAGTGGCCCAGGATCTCATAGCTAGGAAGTGTCTGGAGCCAGATCTGAACTCACAAAGATGAATCTTCCTGACTCCATGCCTGGCACTCTATCCACTGTACCACCTAGCTGGCCTATACTGTTAATTAATCACTAGTAAATGGTGGGGCAGGGACTAGAATCCAAGATTTCTGATTCCCGAGGCAGTATCATTTTGCTATATGGCTCCACGCTGAGAGACGAGTCTGTTGACATTTTTTGAAAGTTGTTATTTTTTATCAGGTCACAACCTCAGATGTGGTCACAAGCTATTCCTAGGTGTTAGCTAACCGCAGAAGAACATACCTGAATGAAGATAAGGGTCTAGATCAGATCAAAAGTGGAGAAGAATGTCATGAATTAATAGGTAGATGAAGGGGTGGGAGGGGAGGATCAAAAAACACAAAAGAAAAGTATTTTCTTATGGGAAAACTTCAGCTCAGTTCAAACATATTTATTTACTTGTCCTGCTCTGAGGAGTCTGTGTCTAGCAGCCTAAACTTCTTTTTTGAATTTCACTTTCTCATCAGTCAATATCTTATATCCATTTTCTGGACTTTGAGATGGCCATTCATGTGGCTGACACCTAGGCACAAAACTATTGTTGATAGTGGACAATAAAATGAATACCAGAGTATTCATGGTCAGTCTATACATTGTCAGCTGTGCATTTTCCCATGAATTAAAGAATTCTGAAGCTTTTTTTAAAGATGAGGTTATTTTCTTTGTAGAGAACTTTATGCTTCATTAAGTGTAATCTTTTCCCCTTTTAGCTGTAGGATAGGCCTTTTGTCTTTAAGTATTATAACATCATACTATAATGGTAAAGGTGACTTTCATATATCAACAGATTTTGTTTTTAATTTCATATTAACATTTTTCATTTCAGTCAGTATTCCAGAACAAGATGAGGCAGACGATATAAGTGGTAGGTACTATGCGACAGACTTCTCTTCCTTGGCTATCAGCTCAAGATTTATGAAGTATCATTGAATGAGTAATTTCCCCAGCTGTCCACAATTTTGACTGGAATTAAAATAGTAGATGAGACAAGCTAGTAAGAATGTTAAAAATGTTTCCTTAACAATCACACAAGTAAAGTTTGCATGGATCCATAGTACACCTTTCTTTTCTTTTCTTTTCTTTTCTTTTCTTTTCTTGGTTTTGCTTTTGTTTTTGTAACTAGAATTAGCAGCTTAGATTTGCTTCCACTCTAAATCATTGACATCATCTATAATTGCATGGACTTTTCTTCTTTGTTTTAGATGAAAATAAAGAGAAAGTGAATGACCAGGCAAAGTTAATAGTGGGGATTGTCGTCGGCCTCCTCCTCGCAGCTCTTGTTGCTGGTGTTGTCTACTGGCTGTACATGAAGAAATCAAAGTAAGACCTTAAAAAAAAAAAGATTTAGCATTTACTTGCTTAAAATGCATGAAGCATTTGCTCATTTTTCTCTGTTCAATTGCATGTAAGCCTTAAACACTAAAGAAGAGTTCTTTCCCAAATTGGAATGATCAGCTGTTGCTGAAATGAAAGGACTTTGTTTTGATTTTCCAGTTCACATTTTGTAAAAATTGGATATATGACCTTAGGGTTTGGTTTCATGTGTGCCCACTAGTTTCAAATTCAGGTCAGAGTCATTTAGTTAATCTTCTGATCCATTTAGTTGGCATTATTAAACTTATCTTTCAAGAAGATCAGCAGTTCAAGACTAGCCACAATCTGGTGGCTTTTTCTTATGAGGTTAGAAAAGATTATCCACTACAGGGGCTGCTGGGTGATTCATAGAGATCCCAGCTTTTACTCTGCCCATGGAAATACCACCAGGGCTGCTGAGATGGCATAGGGATTTGTTGGTACCACGAACCCAATCTCAGACCAGTGGAGCCTGCCCCATTAGGGGATAATGTACCCATTCTTTTACATGGGTTCTTTGGCTTCATCTCATAGCACCATAGAATGTCGTCGTTGCAAGGGTACCTGAAATCAAATCCAGCTCCCTTATTTTACAAATAAGCAAACTGGGGTTCAGAGAAGTGGCATAACTTGTTCAAACTCACAGCTTATTGGAGTGAGGTCATTTCATTTCCCGTTCCAATAAAAAAAGCTGAATTTTAAGTTGAATGCACAAAGTAATGTAAATTTTGAAGTAAATTTTAAAATCTCAACTCCATTGAAATATGACTTGTACTAATGACATATTAAGCCAATATGTTTTGGGCTCAAAAAGAAAACATTCCTTGAATAAGGACTCCTCAAGAAGCCCTATAGCCTCTAGACTTATTAGATTCAAATCTCATTTTTCTACCAAGAGATACTATGATTTTCAGTTGGGCTAAGGATTAACCAGAAATGTAATTCACAATTGACAAAAATGACCATCACTTGGTCTGCCCTAAAAGAACTTAAGGTCATAAAATAGTTATGGATATCTAGCCATATGTATAGATACAGTTTCCTGGAGTGGATTTGTGTACAAGGGGAAGGGAAGAAATATTGATGTGACACCTACTATCTACAAGGCACTGTGCTCAGCATTTTTTTTTTTTTACAAATATCTCATTTGATCCTAACAACAGTCATGGGAAATAAATGCTATTTTTTATTCCCATTTTACAGATGAAGAAACTTAGACAAACAAGGTTAAATGACTTGCCCAGAATCACACAGGTAGTAAGTATCAGAGGCCAGATCTGAATTCAGGTTCTTCTGACTCTAGGCCTAGCACTCTGTTTACTGTGCTTACCAGCCGCCTCTCAATGTGGAATGTGCTCTGCTGCAACCAAATTAAGTTTAATTCTTGATTATATTTTTTCCAAATTTTGTTTGTTTCTCAAAATGAAGGCCCAGTGAAAAGCTAAAACAGGCCAACTTGGTCTAAGTAACAAGGTTAGCAGTATTGTTTTCAAAAAAGGGATTTGATTAGTGAGTATTCTTTAAAGGAAAAAGTTAATAATTTTTTGAATTCTCACTTCAATTTTGTACTTTTTCCATATTTCAGATAAGTTGTCTTTTTAATACTATACCCCATTAAGCCAACTTTTTGTTCAAAAATTCACCAAAAGTGCATCATATGCTGGAAGGATGATTTCAGCTTGAACTCCTCCCCACAAATAAAATGATCTAAAAATCTTGATTAACACTATGTGTTCCATCACAAATCTCCTTTTACACACAAGCCACTCCCTCCAATTCACTGTTTGAATCCTCCCTCCAACAGTTACTCACCTAAACCCTGCCCCCAAAGAGACATCAATGGAAAGTCTGAGAAGGCAGCAGCACAGAAGTTTCAAACCCACTTGAGGCAAGAAAATGTTTTTTCTTTCTGTATGTTGTGATTGATAGACATTTTTTGTGATCCCATCACAGAGTGGTGAATCTTGATCCAGGCAATTCCATATGGAACCTTGATCAGACACTTCACCCTTCACCCAGTTGTTAGAATCACCCATTAAATTCACAAATCCTTCTCTGCTGTGAGCACTATTTCCTATAGCTACCACGTTGGGAAGGTCAATCCATTCATGTCCATGGTTTCTATGAAAAATCATATAAATGCCTCAAGTCACACACACAAGTAAGAAAATGAAAGTAGTTGTTAGGGGAGAGCACTACCCTATAGCAATCCACCACCCATTTATAAGTTTCAAAGAAATTTTACTTAAACTCTGACCCCACCACCACAACAAATAAGGGAAGCACAAAGTTAAGATCTACAAGTTTGAAATATTTCAATTTTGACTTCAGAGTTCAGCTATATTCCAAAGGTACCATATTTGTCTTCTGTTTTGATTTTTTTTTTTGAGAATGGTTTGGGAGAAGAAGGCAGAAGTCAATAAGTTGATAACCACTTATGAAGCACTTACTTTGTGGCAGGTATGAGCACTGGGTATAAAAAAGGAAGGCAAAAATTGTCTGTGCCCTCAAGGAAGTCACAGAGACAAGCTGTGTGTAACTAGATACACACAAGATATATACAGTGTAGATAGGAGGTAATCCCAGACGGGAAGGCACTAGTAGTTGGGGTGGGGAATGGCTTAGGGCAGAGACAGCCTCCTACATAAGATGGAATTCAAGTTGAGTCTTGAAGGAAGCCTTTAAGAGGCAGAGATGAGACAGGAGAACATTCCATAAATGGAGGACAAAGACACAAAAATAGGAGGTGGAGTTTTGTGTATAAGGTACAGAAAGTAGGCTTTAGAGCTGAATTGTAAAGTGTGAAGTATAAGACTGGAAAGGTAAGAGGGAGCCAGGTTCTGATGAGCTTTAAATGCCAAATCAGAGGGACTATATCAATATCTATATATGATGTTGTGGTGGTAGATGAGACGAGTGGCAATGTATGGAATATGAGGAGTAAGTCAGAGTCGAGTCAAAGTAACACTGGATAACTGTGGGAGGATGGCAATTCCTTCAGCAGTAACCGAGAAGAAAGGGGAGAAGGAAAGGAAGACTTGGCTCCATAATAAGAAATTGGGCTGAAACATAAAGAACTTTGTCACTGTCCTATATGGTGATCAAGTACATGTGAAACTCTTGAACCAAGCCCAGCATCTTTAATCATACTGATCTAATTGCTAGCTTCTCATCAGACAGATCTTTGTCATTGTATGACTAGCAAAATTAACATTTTCTATTACTCCATGAATTAGTACCATATGGTAACCCCAGATGATGAACCAAATATATTAAATGCAGGGCACTTAGTTGTATAGCACTCAGGCTCCAGCTTGATGCAGTTCCTTCCAAGTGCCTCATTAAATTAAGAGCAACTTTGACCATCTGACGTCCATCTACTTATCCATCCAAATAAATGTTACCTCTCTGAAAAATGCACCAACTCTGATAGGGTTAATATTTTGGTAATCAAAGTAATACACCCTAATTCTCATCACAAGCATGGATAAAGTGATTTTTATTAAGCATTGGTAGAACACGTCAGATTTGCCAAGCGTTTCTCAGTCCTGATGAGTTATCCCTTACAAAAACCCTATTCAAGGAGCTACCATTTTAGCAACTTAATTTGGGATTGTTAACCCTATAAACGAAGGAAAAAACTGAAATTCATGAAAGTTTACACTAATAGCCTCAAACCCTAGAACATGTACCAGGCCCTAAACCAGAGCTTTTCACATATAACTTAATATTAGACTGATTTATAAGACTAAAAAGTAATTGCATATATCCTTAAAATAGTCACCATTTGGAATTTTTTGACCACTAAATAGAAGTGCCCATTACTTTGAGAAAACGGCCATACAGCACAAATATCTGCCTATGTAGGCCACTGAAATAATCCAAAGCTAATTGAAGGAGTATTTATAGGCATTCTTCTCACAAGTCATGACTTCTACCTTACAGATCAGTACAAGGATTTCATTCTTATTTTCAGCTAACTCTCAGCCTTTTCACATGGATATCAGATATTGAGAAAGGACAGGGCCTCTGATTTTCTTTGGAAGCCTAAATACATAGTCATTGGTTAACCAGCCTGAAAAGAAATTCATTGCAGATATCTATCTCATTCACAAATTCCCAAAAGCCATTCTGAAAGACAACCAAGGTATAATGGAGAATAGCTTTAGAGAAGCATATCCAAGCACAGAGTCAAACCTTAGCAACATTGTGAGAAACTTCTTTGAACTTGCTATATAAAACAATAACTGGGTTTGAATGAGAATGACTGGAAATATGTTTGCACTCCAGAGTAGAGTTTCTTTCATAGTAAACTTTAAAATGGGCATTATGGGGAATTATATAATACATTCCTTCATCCTGCCCTATCACCTAGATCTCAGGTTTCAAACCGCTCTGTCTTTATATCTAAGCAGGCATAGGTAAGTTAAAGCAAAGAAATGCCATGCAGTTGCTCCATACCCGGAGCAGAATAAGGACAATAAGATCCACAGGTCCTGAAAGCGGTGAAGAAGTACTGGCCATTGTACTTCCTCACTGAAAGTGTTATGATGCTTGAGTTTGGTCTTAGAGCAGAATGCTTAGCAGTGTCCATCCCTAATGTATGCATGGAATAAACCACCAATTTTGGGCAGAAGGCACACCAGTTCACAAATCTGTACCATATTTGGCCAGCTGAGCAAGAATAACAAAAAGTTAAGTCCTGCCAAAGCTAACACCCACTTTCTACTAGCCCTAATAAGGGAGGTAAGAAGATAAGAAAAGAGTAGAATCCATAGTTAATCCCAAGTCCTTGTTTTAGCCATTCATTTCTACTTTGTCCCCCATAAATCCTTTTCATCTGAGCTCAGATTAAATACCCAAGAGTTGTCTACATGGGCAAGATTCCTGATCGACACTCTTCCTTGTTACTGCAAGTCATGTGTCAAGCAGATACCCAAAATCTCAATGAGTAATTCAGGTATCTG